GTGGCATTGTAGCTCAAGCAGTAGAGCGCTCGCCTTGAGCTGAAGAGCTGAGAGACAGGGCTCAAACCCAGAGTTCAAGCCCCACGACCGACAAAAAAAAAAAACAAAAACAAAACTAATGAATGAGAAAGACTCTAGTTCCTTCAAAACCAGGTCAGTGATTAGTTATGCTTCACAATTCTCATCCCTTAGAATCTCTGCCCATGTGTATAAATGTTTAGTATGTGTTTGTAAGTGTAAAAAAACAAAAGCGGAGCTGGGCACGGGTGGCTCACGCCTTTAATCCTAGCTACTCAGTAGGCTGAGATTTGCCCATGCCAGCCAGGAAAGTCCATTAAACTCTTATCTCCAATAAATCACCAGAAAACCAGAAGTGGTGCTGTAGCTCAAGTGGTAGAGTGCTAGCCTTGAGCTGAAGAGCTGAGGGACAGTGCTCAGGCCCAGAGTTCAAGCCCGACAACTGACCAAAAAATAAAATAAGTGGATGTATATATGTATTTTTTTATTTTTTACCAGTCCTAGGGCTGGAACTCAGGGCCTGGGCACTGTCCGAGCTTTTTTTTTTTTTTCCCATATATACTTTTTATTGTAAAAAATATTGTATAGAGGGGTTACAGTTACATGAGTAGGGTAATGAGTACATTTCCTATCAAGCATTGTTACCTCCTCCTTTGTCTGAGCTTCTTTTGCTCAAGGCTAGCACTCTACCACTTGAGCCACAGTGCCACTTTTGGCCTTTTGTTTATGAGGTACTGAGGAATCACACCCAGGACTTTATGCCTCCTAGGCAAGCACTATACCACTAAGCCACATCCCCATCCTGTTTTCTCATACACATATGTATACATGCTATAGGAAAACTGATTTTGTTTAAATATTGTGGGAAGAGTAATGACAAGACAATCTACTTTTGTCTGGGAGGGGAGTAATGGGATTCGCTTTTTATTTTTTATATTTATTATATAATTTTACACAATTAAAAATGAGTATTTAGCCAGATTTAAGCTATTATCTAAAACATTTTTTACATTTTTTTGTTGGGCATGGGTCTTGAACTCAGGGCCTGGGTGCTGTCCCTGAGCTCTTCAGCTCAAGGCTAGCGCTCTACCATTTAAGCATTACTGCCACTTCTGGTTTTCTGGTGGTTGATTGGAGGTAAGAGTCTCATGGATGTTCTTCACCAGGCTGGGTTTGAACTGCAATCCTCAGATCTCAGCCTCCTGAGTAGCTAGGATTATAGGCATGAGCCACTGGCACCCAGCTATAACATTTTGATATTTCACCAGACACAGACCTTAGCATGTTTAAGAAAAAAAAAAAAGAAACGAGTTTCAAAAGCTGATGCAAATTCTTTTTTTTTTTTTTTGGGTCCGGTCGTGGGGCCTGAACTCTGGGCCTGAGTGCTGTCCCTCAGCTCTTCAGCTCAAGGCTAGTGCTCTCCCACTTGAGCCACAGCGCCACTTCCGGCTTTTTTCTTTTTGCTTATGTGGTGCTGAGGAATTGAACCCAGGGCCTCAGGCATGCAAGGCAAGCGCTCTACCACTGAGCCAAATTCCCAGCCCCGCAAATTCTTTCTTGGGAGTATATGTGTGTTTGTGTGGGGGGGGGGGAGAGAAAGAAAGAGGGAGGCAGGGCCTTGTACTTGCTAAGCTCTACCACTTGAACCATGCCCCTACCCTTTTTGATTTAATTTTCACTCTCTTGCTTTTGCTGTGTTAGCCTGAGATGGTGATTCTATTACCTCTGCCTCCAGAATTGCCAAAATAACAGATATGTACCACCATACAGAATCTATTTTTTGAGAGAGACAGAGACAGAGAGAGACAGAGAGACAGAGAGACAGAGAGAGAGAGAGAGAGAGAGAGAGAGAGAGAGAGAGAGAGAGAAATCACTTTTCCCCAGGTAAGCCTCAAACCTGTAATCCAGGTACAGGTGTAAACTACCATGCTCACCCAGATACAAATTCTTTAAGCATTTATTTATTTTTTCTAACTACAGCTACTGTCTGATCAGATCTAAAATTATTCTGGCAAAAGTGCTATATATAAAACCATGTATTTAAGTGAGCCCTACAGAGAGAAATATGAATAGGCAGTTCAAAGTTACTTGTTAACGGTTTGTATAGGACTGGTGGCTATTAGATTTTTTTTTTTTGTCATGGGGGCTGAAGTACGGGCCTGGGTGCTGTCCCTCAGCTCTTCAGCTCAAGGTTAGCGCCCTACCACATGAGCCACAGAGTGTCACTTCTGTTTTTTTTTCTGCTTATGTGGAGCTGAGGAATCCAACCCAGGGCCTCATGCATGTGAGGCAAGCACTCTATCATTGAGCCACCTTCCCAGCCTGTACTAGATAAATTTTAAGCAGCTTAATATTTTTATGTTAAAGGGAAGAAAATTCACACTTTGTCAGGCACTCAACAGTATGTCAGCCATGGTGTCATATACCACTCTACTTGTTCAATAGTCTGGATAGGATAAAATGTTCACTATTTTTTGTGGCTTCCCAATTTTACTTGTCTCTAAAAAGCAGTAAAAGCATACAAAGAAAATATATTAGGACCACCAGAAACTCTACAGTATAAATAAATATTTACAGTAATATTGTTCTAGTAACGTAAGAGGACTAAGATAACTTAGATTTAAGTGGGAACTCCAATTCTAGGGAGATAATAAAAGGGTGAATGAATACAAAAGACAATTATAACACAGCATGAATCTTGATTCATATATAATTGCTTTTTCAACAAGATGTGAACACTTTAATTTAAAATTAACTAATAAATCACAATTCTGTATTCCTTTTAAGATTATTTTGTTTAAAAAAGACACATTTCAGGATTAACCAAAGCCTATTTCTAATACAGATTAGTTTACCCAAGTAAGTAAAGAATATACCACAGTGCAGCTCCCTTAACCTAGGAGTCAGGTTTTAATGACAAAGTCCGTTGCCAGCAATGGACATGTAGATAACCATCAAAGATGTAAATATAAATCCCAAACTGCTTCTATAAATGGAAAAGCCCTTTGTTGAGTCACAGCATAAAACAGGGGTCCTGGAATATACCCCATGAATGTGGTCTCTGACTTAGGATGGAAGTGCCTTCTGTAGTGGTCATGAGGCTCAGTCTTCTCACCTAGTGGGTTTTCTATTTCATTGGCAGCATCTTCTCTATCATAATGCATCCAGACAACTGTTCACAATGTTCAAATCTGGAACTCAAGAGGCACTGCAGCTTTCCGCCAGAAATAATCAGCTTGTGTCTGTAAAGTAACTTAGTGATAACTGTAGAAGGCCAAATAACAGTTCAAAAAAAAAAAAGTGAAATCAAGAACCTTATTGAAAACAGAGGCCATTAAGTGCTTTAAAGTTTCATTATTTTCCTCATTTTTTCAAAACTTTCCTGTTATCAATAAAAGCCTTTCTCCTTATACTTGTATTTTAACAGATATGATAGGGCCTATAATAGGAAATAAAACTCTACTAGTTTCCCCAAAATATTCCAAAATAGCAAAATTATTTTTATTCATGATTTGTACTACTGCAGGATGGCAAATGGATATGAAATTCATTGGGAGTGGATAATGCGAACAAAATGTGGCTCCAGGCATGTCAGAATAGACAATACCTCATCCAAAAGCAAAGAGCAGAGCAACACAGAAACACAAGAGAGGAAATAAAGGGCATAAAGGGCATTCTAGTAATCAATGCTACAGGTCACAGACCTTTTTTTTTCTTTATTAAATCTTAAAAAAAACTATCAATAAGGACATTTCATTTTTCTTCCTTTCTCCAGTTTTTACATGAATATTCTACTTATTTGAAAAAAAACTGAAGTCAAATACTTCCACCAACAAGTACTTTGTTATTTAAATTATCATAGTAAGATAATGGTAATGGGTTGAGAACATGGTAACTCACAACAAAGCTTTACAGTTTATTGGTCATAAGCTGCATCTCTATAATAGTGACATTTCTCATTCATGATTCTATTTTAGAACCCACCAAAGTTCAAGTTTCTCACTCAGGTTTTGTTAAGTCCCAAATATTTTTCCTTTTAAATAGACAAGAGTTAAGTTTTAAATTCTGAAAACTCAATGGTTACTATATTACTTGTTCCATGGGGCAGGTGAAGGCATTTGTGAAAGATGGCTGAACCTAAAATTGTAACATATATAGAAATTTATTTCCAAAATGAAGCCTGGAGGAGCTGGCAGTGGCAACAACCATTATCAAAAAGCCCAAGTAGGAACAGTAAACCATTTTGGCTCCTGAAGCCAAATGTGAAGAAGAAACAGGCAGAAAGGAAGACAAAACAGTCAGTGGGATTCTTTTTCTGTCTCAATGATTTAGTTATAAATATAGATTATTAGTCCTCTTTCTATACATGTAACAAATGTCAAACTTACTATCATGAAATTTCTAAAACTGACTCTTTCACATTTGTTTAAAAAAAAGGTAAAAATCACATACTTTTCTTCCTCTTTTTCAGTTCAAGTTCTGAACTGAAATATTAAACAACAGCTGGTCCTAACTTCTATAAAAAGTTAAACCATATTAAGCTCCTTTGCCAATTTAAAGAGCTACATCATTTCTATCATACTTGCCTTGAATTTAGGCATGAGAAAAACTTCTCAAAGCAATTCAAAAGGAGCAAGTCAAAGAAAAGGGAAACTACAGAGGAAAGCCAAGACTAGATGAAACAAATACTTGTGAAATACTCGAATCTGACATTCAAGTACTGAAAATACCCCAAAGGAAAATCAACACAATCTATTATAACAGTCAGCAAAGTAAGACACAAATCTCACACCTAAGAAATGGCCTTGATAGGCTGTCTGCTGAAAGATGTAAGGCTAGTGATTCAGTCCACAATTCCTTTTGGACCCTAAAAAAGGGGTTCATTTGAAAGTTATAAATATCTTATTGTATTTTTCTCTTGGTTGTCTTCAGGGAATAGTAGTTTTGTTTTTTCTTTCCTCCATGTTATACAGGTGATCTCCTTAACCCCCCCCAAAAAAGTAGTAGTTTTCATATATTAAAAGACTTCTTTTAGAAAATGGAAAAAAAAATAAGAGGCCACAGTAATGATGTTAACGGTTGCTCTTCATTGCTTCTTTAGCTGCCATGATTAGCGGTGTCAAGCTGGATAATGGTTTGGCCAGTTTCAGGAAGGGATGCTGTGGGGGAAAGGGGCAGAGAGAAATGTATATGTCAGTTAAGAAACAAAACAGTTTTTTTCAACTGAGCTTTAAAAATTACTTATAGGTCATTATTTAATAAACTAAACATTTAATTTCTTCTAAAACCTCTTATAATCCCTATATCTTTTTTTTTTCTTTTTGGTCATTCGTGGGGCCTGAACTCTGGGCCTGTGCGCTGTCCCTCAACTTTTCGTTCAACTCAAGGCTAGTGCTCTACACTTGAACCACAGTGCCACTTCCAGCTTTTTCTGCTTATGTGGTGCTGAGGAATCCAACCCAGGGCCTCATGCACGCAAGGCAAGCACTCTACCACTGAGCCACCTTCCCAGCTCCCCTATATCACTTTTTATAGTTGAAAACAATTTTTCTAATTAATAAAACATAGTTAATTGCTCTATAAATATACTTACACCAGCATCATACAAGTCTGAGAATTGGTAATATGAGGAACTTACTACTATAACATCTTTTGAGAATTTTATTCTTAGCAGATAAAACTATATATATAACCAGCTGCTATCTTTCATGCTGGTGATCAGTAAATAGTGAAATATTATTAGCACAATGAAAACTTACTATTGACACTCAGAAAGTAAATTTTTCTAAAGAGACCAAATTTACCTGTAACAATTCTTTGGCTGAACCTCTTTTCTCCACGTCCATTTCCAAACATCGATTTAAAAAATCTCGAAATATTGGGGAAAGTTTCTCTGGATTTTGAAGCTCTGGGGTTCCATTAGTTGCTATCAGGTACAAGGCCTAAAATGAGAACACCTTTACATATTTAAGGCAGCTCCACATATACCTGATCAAATTATGGTAGAGCATAATTTTTTAAAGACAATCACTGTAAACTAATCTTCCCTTCCTGTATCTCTCTTCTCTCTAGAGTGTATGTTTTTGTGTGTGATGCTGGGGATGGAACCTAGGACATTTTGCTACTTCACTATGAGTTATAAACACAATACATTTTCATAAAAATCCTTCACCTCTTATACACAGAAGTATAAAGAAAAAAAGACAACATAATCCCACTATCAATATATAGTACAGTATATAGTTTTGTTAAAGATTCCCCACCTTTAAGCCATACTATCAAATTTCAAAACAGTTGAATTTATTTCAACTTTTCTTTTCACTGTATTCCAACTTATCTCCCCTTTCTGTGGTTCTGGGGTTTGGACTCAAGGCTTCACATTTGCCAGGCAAGTGCTCTACCATTTTAGCCAGTCCACGAGATAGTTTCAGTAGTAGCTCATGCTAGCCTTCAATAAGTTCCTTGAACTTATAATTAATCCATCATTAGTGATCTGATCTTACACATGCCTCTTTTCTAAGGACATGAGTGAGTGCATTTACTCTTTTTTCATTTATATTAATAATCATGAGCAGCCTGGACACTTTTATCTCCTAGCTTCTCTACTCCCAATGCCCATGTTGCTCTCCAATGTCTCCATGCTTTCACAGGTAGTGCTCTCTAGTAGCAGTTTTTTTTTTGTTGTTGTTGTTGTTTTTGGGTCTGGTCATGGGGTCTGAACTCTGGGCCTGGGCGTTGTCCCTCAGCTCTTCAGTTCAAGGCTAGCGCTCTACCACTTGAGCCATAGCGCCACTTCCGGCTTTTTTCATTTTGCTTATGTGGTGCTGAGGAATTGAACCCAGGGCCTCAGGCATGCAAGGCAAGCACTCTACCACTGAGCCACCTTCCCAGCCCTCTAGTAGCAGTTTTTTTTTTTTTGCTTTTGTTTTTGTCTTTTTTTCCCATGACTGGGCCTAAAGGTGAATAAGTGCCTTCTGGCTCCTCATTTCTCTCTGAGATCTTTATCATATTTCTCTGAAACCCAGGCTTATGATGGCTTATCTATCTTCCCTTGTTTAAAGACCTACTAAATCCCAGACCCCTCCCCTCACTGTTTCAAGATTATACCTTTTGTACTATACCTCTAATGTTATTCTCATCATAATTTTCAGCATTTTCAATAGCTACATGAATGCATGCTACAACTTGAACTGTTGCCTGATGCCTTTGTGCTATATAGTTCCTCAGATACGTTCACTTCTGGCCACACCCTCTACCATCCATATCAGTAGTAGTGGCAGAAATTACAAGCTCAAATCTTGGTTGTAGTCTACCTTCTACATTCCTAGAATCCTTATGACTTTACTGGCACCTAAATCCTAACTCATCTTTCCAGTGTCCATGATTCCCTTCACGTATCATTTCTTTCACTTCTTGAAAATCTTTTTTTTCTTATACTCTTAGTTTTTCAGGTTGCTTCAGGTAGGGAGGGTTAAAATGGTCCCTGTTACTTCGTCTTCAAAGCAAATGTTGTCACTCTTCAAGTTTCTATCTATTGCATCCATACTCATCAAGACTCAGGCTTCATCATCTTTTTTGTGTGTGTGTGTGTGTCAGTCCTGGGGCTTGAACTCTGCTTTTAGCTTGGGAGCTGTCCCTGTACTCTTCAGTTCAAGGAGCGTGCTCTACCGCTTGAGCCACAGCAACACTTCTAGTTTTCTACTGGTTTTTTGGAAATAAAGAGTCTCACGGTCTTTCCTGGGCTGGGTTTGAACTGTGCTCCTCAGATCTCAGCCTCCTAGTAGTTAGGATTACAGGCGTGAGCCACTGATGCCCTACTAAGGCTTCATCATCTTAATGAACAGATGTTCTCTCCCTCACTTGTAGCATGATGTTTCCAGACTATACTTTTATTTTGTTTTACCTTTTCTCCTGGCCATTCCATTTGGGGACCAAATAATTGCTATAGCTAAGAAGCTTTATTTTCTACCTCTAGCCTGGATCCTAACTTGCATACTCATTGGCCTATTCAACATATGCATTTGAATGTTCTGGCAGGTCTCTCAACCTTAATATGCCTAAAGTGTTAAAATATTATCTGCTGAAAGATTTCAAGCCCCACATCCAACAACAACAAAAAAATATCTGCTGATACCTCACCTGCTATCATGCCCCTCTCTCCTCCTTTCATTTTTCTCATTTTAGCTGAGGTGAATGTCAAATTTATCATTCTAGTTGCTTAAGCTAAACTCTTAGGGTCTTCCTTAATGCTCCTCTCTCTCATGCAGTCTCCTGGCACAACACATCCAAGTCAGGCACTGGTAGATCATGCCGATAATCCTAGCTACTCAGAAGGCTGAGATCTGAAAATCAAGGTTCAAAGCCAGCTTGGGCAGGAAAGGCTGTGAGACTAATCTCCAATTAACCACCAGAAAATCAGAAGCGGAGCTGTAGCTCAAAGTGGTAGAGCACTAGTCTTGAACAAAATACTCAGAGACAGTGCCCAGGCTCTGAATTCAAGCCCCATGATGACAAAACAACAAACAAACAAAAATATACAGAATCCATCCCACTGTTTAGCAACCACACCAATAATATCATTTCTTGCGTGAATTATTGCAGCAGCTTCTGAATGATCCTCTTGAAATATTGAAATAATTTACATCTCTTTTACATTTCACTGCGCTCCAATATATTTGTCATCTAGAGTAAAAGCCAAAATCCTTTCCAAGGCTTCCCAAGGCCAATATAGTATCTGACTTCTTTATGGATCTACTTCATTTGCCTGCTGTTTGCTCAATGCACTCTAGCTATGCTGAAATCCTCAAGGACCTTTGAATATATATTGGAACACTTCTGTTTGAGAGCATTTGCATCAATTGTTCCTTCTGTTCAGAATGCTCTTTCCTGTTATCTTCTATATTCAAATGTCACTTCAAAGCAAAGCCCTTCAAAAGTATCCTTTTGAAACCAAACATCCTGATCTTTTTTGCTAGTCCCAGTACTTAAGAGTCCATGGCTTAATATATATTATTGTTATTTATTTTATTATCTCTCTTCCCCCACTAGAATGTTTTTCTTGGTTCTTTTGGGAAACACCTTGAATAGGGCCTGATACAAAGCAAGGTTCAAATTAACACTGGTTAGATGAATGAAAAAAATAACACTAAAACTTAAAAAACTGAATGGACAAGCATATACTGAATGGACAAGTGTACTCTATTGAAAGTATTTTCTACTTACCTGAACTGGAATCTTTTGGCAGTGAGGCAAAAACATTCAGGAAATGAATTAAAATGTACTAAAATCTAATTCTAGACATTGTATGGATTCTTTAACTTCCCATAATACTTTGAAGGTTCCAAATTATAACCTACAAAACCTTCTTAAGTTTTTTTTGCCAAATAATATTCCATTGTTTATTTGGTGATTATATTAGCTGCTTCCACTTTTTGCCATTTCAAATAATATTGCTGCTCTGAACACTAATATACAAGTTTTGTGTAAGCACATGTATGCTTTTTCTTCCCACTTTAAATGAACTTATGCTATCTAGCCCAGGCTAGCCTTAAACTTGGAATCCTCCTATCTTAGCCTTTCAAGTACTAGGGATTATAGGTGTGGGCCACCATGCTTAGTGACATGTATGTTTTTAACTTACTTAGATACCTATCTAACAACAGAACTGCTAAATTACACTGTAACTAACTTCTAACTTTTAGAGGAACTATCAAATTGTCTCCCAATGAAGTTGTACTATTTTAGAATCCCACTGGCAATACATGAAGGTGATCCCAAATTCTCCATACCTTCACCAAAACTTATTACTGTCACGATAGTCATTCTACTGTAAAAGGAGTATCTTGGTTTTGATTTGTATTTCCTTAATGATGTAAAGCCACTTGTAATTTAAAGCAGGATGGTGGTGGAAACTCAGCTGATGAGTATTTCCTTGTTGAAAATCTACCCTTTAGTTTGAATATGAGCCTTAACTTTACCATTCATACATTCTCAGAAATGTAACCTTACTTTCTTCTTCACTGTCCTCAGAGTACAAAGGACTTGAGTGCTATATCCAGGATACCTAAATGTGTAGGAAAAATTAACTATGCAGAAAAAAGGCACCAGAGCATCTCACCTTTGTGAAAGGGTAAGTATACTCTCACATGCAAAAGAAAAGCAACAGAACTTGCTATTAAAAACCTATAAACTACTGGGCACTGGTGGCTCATGCCTGTAATCTCAGTTATTCAGGAGGCCGAGATCTAAGGATTGATGTTCAAAGCCAGCCTGGGCTGAAAAGTACCTGTGAGACTCTCTTATCTCTAATTAACTACCAAAAAAACCCCCAGAAGTGGTATTATGGCTCAAGTGGTAGAGTGCTAGACTTGTGGACAAAGAGGTTCAGGAACAGCATCCTGGTCCAGACTTCAAGCCCCGCAATCACCAACAACTACAACAACAAAATCTATACCTAGCATGTTCAGCTCTGTAATTCAGAGGTAATGTAATTTTTAGATGTAGAGTAAGGGAAATACTAGGTTTTTGATAACTTTGTATTTTATATTCTTATCCACCTTTCACAGGCAAGTACTAAATATATGTTTTTGTTTTTGCTTTTTTCTGGTCGTGAGGCCTGAATTCTGGTCCTGGGTCCTGTCCCTCAGCTCTTCAGCTCAAGGCTAGCACTACCACTTGAGATACAGTACCACTTCTGGTTTTTTTGCTATGTGGTTCTGAGGAATGGAACCCAGGGCCTCATGCATGCAAGACAAGCACTCTACCACTGAGCCACCCTTCCTAGCCCCTAAATATATGTTTTAAGGAAAAGTATTTTTCTTTTTTTTTTTTTTGGGGGGGGGGTTCGGGTCATGGGGCCTGAACTCTGGGCCTGGGCGCTGTCCCTCAGCTCTTCAGCTCAAGGCAAGCACTCCACCACTTGAGCCACAGCACCACTTCCGGATTTTTTCTTTTTGCTTATGTGGTGCTGAGGAATCGAACCCAGGGCTTCATGCATGCAAGGCAAGCGCTCTACCACTGAGCCACCTTCCCAGCCCCGGAAAAGTATTTTTCTTATGGTAAAGTTAGGATTTAACTGATCTTACCCTCAAGGGATTTTCATTGAGGTATGGAGGCTCTCCTTCTACCATTTCAATTGCCATGATACCCAAAGACCATATGTCAACTTTGGGGCCATAAGCTTTCCGTGTAACCACCTCTGGTGCCATCCAATACGGTGTTCCAACCATGGTACTGCGTTTGCTCTGCTCAGGGGTGATCTGGGCACAGAAACCAAAGTCAGCTATAATACAAAACAAAAACAAAATATTTAGAGTTAATGGTTTCTAGAAATGGTTTTAAAAATGTTAAGAGTTCAAATATCAAAATTACATCCAATTTTTTAAAGGAATTTAATAATAAAGTAAACCAGAATAAGTTTAAAATATTTTGAGGGTGTTATTTACTCTCACTTCTTTTTTTTTTGTCAGCCTTGAGGCTTGGGCCCGGGCATGGTCCCTGAGGTCCTTTTGCTCAAGGGTAGCACTCTACCACTTGGCCACACACAATGCCACTTTCGGTTTTCTGTTGGCTAACTAGAGGTAAGAGGCACACAGACTTTGCTGTCTAGGCTAACTTTTAAGCACAATTGTATCTCAGTCTCCTGAGTAGTGAGGTTTACAGGTATAAGCTACCAGTGTTCAGCTTTACTCTCACTTCTTGCTCTACAACACAGCATACATTATCAGATGTTTCACTGTGAATAATTAATTCAAACCTAAAATATTTTTTAAAAAATCTGAAATATGGGGCTGGGGAGGTGGCTCAGTGGTAGAGCGCTTGCCTTGCATGCATGAGGCCCTGGGTTCGATTCCTCAGCACCACATAAGCAAAAAGAAAAAAGCCGGAAGTGGCGCTGTGGCTCTAGTGGTAGAGTACTAGCCTTGAGCTGAAGAGCTGAGGGACAGCACCCAGGCCCAGAGTTCAGGCCCCACAACCGGACCCCCCAAAAAAAAATCTGAAAGAAAGAACAGCAAAGATGAATACCAAATTTAAATGAAAGTCAATCAGGCAAAGTCAGGAAACAGACTGCTTTTAAACAAAATAAACAAAAACTAGAATCACTAAGCATACAACTTAGTAGAGAGCTTAGAAGAACACATCTGACTCCACTACCTCATTGTGTACCCAAGTAATAGGATACCTACTTCAGCACTTGATACTAAACTAGTGGCAAAGTAGGATGAGAAGTTAGGGCTGTTTTCTTCCCTTGCATATTAAACCCATTTGACTCCTTATATAACCACTGTTAACTATTAGGTTTGTAGTCTTTACACTTTTTAATATGCTTTTTTCTTTTTGCAAGTGTTGGTGCTTGAACTCAGGGCCTGGGCACTGTCCCTAAGCCTCTCTGTGCGCAAGTCTAGTACTCTACCACTTGAGCCACAGCCACATTCCCAGCCCTTTAACATGTATTTTATTGTTTGTTTGTTTGTTTGTTTCCAGTTGTGGGGCCTGAACTCTGGGTCTGGGTACTGTCCTTCAGCTCTTCAGCTCAAGGCCAGCACTCTACCACTTGAGCCACAGCTCCACTTCCAGCTTTTTCTGCTTATGTGGTGCTGAGGAGTCAAACCCAGGGCCTCATGCATGTGAGACAAGCACTCTACCACTGAGCCACCTTCCCAGCCCCTTAATATGGATTTTAAACATACATATTAATTATACTAATGAACTGTCTAGTTCATTTGATCAACATGGTAATTTAGATATTTTGTATACTGTTTTCTTTGCTTTTTTTTTTTTTTTTGCCGGTTGTGGGGCCTGACCTCTGTGCCTGGGCGCTGTCCCTCAGCTCTTCAGCACAAAGCTAGCACTCTACCACTTGAGCCACAGTGCCACTTACGGCTTCTTCTGCTTATGTGGTACTGAGGAATGGAACCCAGGGCCTCATGAATACAAGGCAAGCACTATACCACTGAGCTACCTTCCCTGTTTTCTTAAAACTCGATTTAAAGCCAGGTACTACTAGCTGACATTTGTAATCCGAGCTACTATGGAGGCTGAGATCTGAGGATCTCAACTTGAAGCCAACCATGGCAAGAAAGGTCTTGAGATTTTTATTTCCAATTAACCAGCAAAAAGCTGGCAATGCAGCGGTGGCTTGAGTGAAAAAGCTAAGGGATAACACCCAAGTCCCTGGGTTAAATCCCCAGAATCCGTATAACACACACACACACACACACACACACA